TTTCGTGCCGCCAGTCTCCCTCCCCTCTGACACAGCGACAGCAGTCTGTCTCTCCCTCTCAACATGTCACACACCACAGCGGTATGTAGAGTGTTTCTATAATCCAGATTCATGTCCCGTTTTCATTTTTTTACTGCGCCTCTCACAGGGCTTTGGGCCAGTCTCTCTCTCTTTCGGGCAGCCAGTAGTTTGCTCTCTGACACGTCGGACTTTCAAATGTTTCAAAATACACGCGTTCGTCTCTCTGGGATCTCGCATGTACGCGCCGAACATGCACATCTACAAAAATTTCATCTCTCCGGGATCTTTTCAGGGCTGGTGTCGTTTATCTCCGTTTCTCGCGTGCACCAAAGTATTGATGGGANCATCTACAAAAATTTCATCTCTCCGGGATCTTTTCAGGGCTGGTGTCGTTTATCTCCGTTTCTCGCGTGCACCAAAGTATTGATGGGAACGTACTTCACGGGAATCTCACAGCCACGGCACGCCACAAACGAAGGCCCCATTCAACAAACGCTGACTAACATCGTGCATCAAACACCAAGTAACATTCGTCTTGCGGTACGCTTCTCTCAGCGTGGCGGCGTAAGCCGCCAACAAGTCTTCGCTCACTGTAGTTTGCAGGAGTTTCAAACCTTGCATCTCCGTAGATCTTAACATACGCGTCTAGGGTCCACTACGGCTGTACGACGGAACATTTTGGTGCTTATCATCTGACCTGTTTGTTGCCTTGAATGTATCGAAGATTTACATCACGTCTCACTTGCTGTCGTTGTTTTACGGGTAGCACAACAACAACAGAGGGCCACACAAAGCTGTGCGACACACAAGAGGGACACCCCGGACAGCAGGCTTGCCTTGAATCTGTCGAGGAGTACCCCAACCGCTCTGGGGAAGACCGCTTCGAAATGGCACAGCCTTTCCGCCTGCGCTGTCCTTGCTTTCCCCACAGATTCTCGGAGCCTAGCCTCCCGTCCTTCGTTCCAGTCCTCGTGATCCTGGCAGCGATGCCTCGCCTGCGGCACCCAGTGAGAGCGGAACACGAACCTTGCCCCAACGTGGTGTTGGCCAAACCTCTCGACCGTAAGGTCCTCGGTAAAGCTCGTTCCGCTTGCTGATACACCTGTATCGAAAGCACCAAAGGCTCCTGACATGATTCCTGCGAGGCAGAAGCCGATCGCTCTCAAAAAATCATGATCTAGTACTGTCCGTGATAGCCTCATACTATGGCCGGCTCTTGAGAACGAGACGGAGGAAGGGCACGTCTTGCGACAGCGGTAAGTGCTGCCTTTGTTTGAGCTGCAAACCGGATATCTGGGGTTCCGTGGTATCATGGCTGGGTACAAATATATTATCTGGTCCGTGCCCTCTGCGATTTCATTTCGCGGCGCCCCCTATCTTGTAACGGAGATGTTCCCGAGAAAGATCAACATCTCTCGTCCGCAGATCCTCTCTATCGTCTACGCGCGCGTTGGATACGGCATAAGAGAGCACCAACGACAACTATACCTGTTTCGGAGTTATGAAGGAGGTAACTGCAAGCAAGTCCAAGTTGGGGGCAAGGTGCGGCATTCACCAGAGCCTGTCTCGAAAGCAAAAAAATCTCGGCGGAATCCATACCGCCACCGACGGTTCCGGTGCCACATGTTGTGTACGGCGTGGATGACTCGCGGGTGCATATTTTGGAGGCCGCAACTCTCAAAGAAAATGGAGATCTCAACCGTTCGACGCGCCTGCAACATTCCTCCCACATTTAGCCCCGTTCGAAAGCATGCCAGTCTGGCTGACTGAATGAAAATTTCCAAACGTAGTCTGTCTATTGATTGGGAAGCCTCAGCTGGAAATACCGAAATAACAATTAGACAGGCGGTCTGTCGACGACATTGGCGCTTCGTGTTCTCTTTATGAATGCAGCTTTGTCGTCGGCTACTCGTGTACTGTTAGTCGAGTTCTGTGAGCCCTTCAAGTCTCCCAACAACGGCCGGAAGAATACCAAGGAAGTTTAGCACGTACACACCCATTTATCAGATACACCAAGATACGCCCTCGTTCCGGTGATGACGGATCCCAAACTGCATGCATGCATTGTGGATCATTGTACAAACCTTGATCTTGCTTGATATGCACATATGTGTTTCATGTGTCCCAGAGAAGCGAACGACTGATAAGAGGGCGTGCGTGCGGTAGGTGACGCCACGGATCAGCTCAATAAACAAGGGTTTCACTTCACTTAAACCTAGACACTTTAGTACTTCTTATGTACAGCAATCTTCCTCTACCAAGATCGGTCGTGCTTCAAATGCGAAACCTCCAGACAAAAAACTTGCACATAACAAAAAACCCAGAGGAATTTGTGTTCAGGTAACCGCTTGTACCACTACTGTGGTTACACAACAAGTATATCGCTAAGCTGAGTGCCTTCCTTGTCTTTAAACAAACGAAAATACAATCCCCCGTGGCGCGTTCAGGGAATCGCTGGCCTTCGTAACCAGGGAACGATGCCGGACGTGCCAGGCATTTTCGTAAAAATCTTCAATTCCCATTTCCCGCAGAGTCTCCTATACATTTCGAGCAGGCATCACCCTCAATACTGAACGCGAGCCTTGAGGAATCGAACTCTGTTGTGTACCACCGTATATATTCAGAATGTCGTGCGCAAGGCGGTAGCATCGGTAGATGCCAGACTCCACATTCCCGCTTCATTGCTTCTGTCAGGTGGCAGTTGAACGCCTCCATGCTGTCGAGACCGGCCGACCTCTCAGCCCTGGTTACCTTGAGTCAGAGCAAGCCCGAGGTAAACGAGAAGTGCAGTTGTTTGACGTGGAAAAGGCAAGCCGAAATGAGCGTCACCAATCGGATGAAACCCTGCATGAAACGCAGAGCACGGTGTTCCCATGCGAGTTAATCATGCTTTCAGTGTGCAAAGAGAGCGCACGATACATCGCTCCCCTTATGTGAGGTCTTGTCTTGCTCGGCATAGGCTCGATGTGATGGAATTTCCCGCTCCATTTATGTCCCACTCGTACGAAACCAGGAATTCTTCGTGGACGATACGTTGCATGTTCTGGTGAGCAAGCTCTTGAACTGCCGAAACGAGCAAGTGTCGGACAAAGACACCAAGCTGGATGTACTTGCGATCCTGGCTAACCTGGTGAGTGAATTTAATCACCAGGGCATAGCCGACGTGAGTATCGCGCAAAACAGAAGTACATTTCGAGGCAAAACCCAACACCTTAGTGTTGCTCTTGTACCCACATCATCTTGGGATGGTTGTTTCGGGAAATTCTCGCCATCCACTACATAATTGTAGCGATTGTTCTACACAAGCAACACGTCGAATGGTGTTTCGGCACCTACGTGGTACAACTGAACATTGCAGAACAATGTAGGAGTGCAATGAACGATATGCCAACGGCCCACATCCAACCTGGAAAACACGATGCACCATGGTCATGTCTACATTTGGAGGTTCGGAATAGCTTGTCATCATCATCCACCAATACAGTAGCGAACGGCCTTCGTTCGAAGCCCTTTTAGATACTGCCGTTGTATTGATCGCCTTCAAAACACATTCCAATGCAGTCTGGCTCCGGAGATGCTCGCGCCAAAGAGGAAGTCAGGATCGCCCTACAGGGCGTGAGCGAGTGGTTTGATGACTACCTTGCTGGGGAACAAGGAGATGGATTGGAACAGGTAGAGCCGCTTATGGAGACCATTCGATTTTGATGAGAGTGTTAGCTGTCGGCATGTTTCTGTCAGGCCTGATCATGGACATATGCACGCTGTCGTATTTCATTTTTATTCTGAAGGGGATTGCAGCTCTATTTTCGCAGAGTACGCCGTTTGTTCTCTATTGCGTACGAACGCTTTTGGAGCGGAAGGATTTCCGCGCAAGTTTTTCATCCCTCACACCAAGACTTCCCCAATCGCTGCATAGGAGCCGGAGTTGCACAAGTCGATGTTGCTTCTGCTGGCAAGAGCTTGGGACTACAAGGTAGGTCCACCCAATATCGCGCTGAATGCCTTCAAATTTGGACGAGGTGGCCCGCTAAACACGGAACTCTCGGCTATTATCTAGAGGCATGGAATCCGTCCGAGTTTTTTCATCTCTGCCATGCCGACCCTCTTCGGCTTGTCACCTGGGTGATACTGTCTTCGCTAAATTTTGAGTGAAGCGAAGTGTGCGTCCCTGCCTTACGGAACGAAATATTGCAGGACATGTTCTTGACACACGTCACTCCAACCGACCTCACGTACCACACCTATTTCACAACCAGTAGCGGAGTACGCATTTCCCGCCTTTCAATCGTAATACAGTCAATGAAAACATCATTTCATGTACAACCGAGCACCGACCCATGCACTATTTCGCCCCAACTGGCGTACTACGAATCAGCTCAAGACGGAGGATTTGTTGGAGCTGACCCGAGGGGATCGAGGTCTCGCATTAGATTCGGTGAGCGATGCTGGTAGAATCCCCAAATGCCAGAGAGTGGGCTGCTGCGCTACAGAAACAACCTTTGTTTTCGTTCTTCGTTAGCTCGAGAGAGTGGGCTGTTGTCCTACGGTAGATTTGTGTTCGCTCTTCCCAAGATAGCCTCCAGCAATCAGGCTACACGAGAATTCTGCCTGTTTCCATCTTCGCGACATCTATCGCGTTACCCTTTGAAGGTGAGGTCCACGCTCGCCACCAAGACATACCAACTCGTTTGCTCGTAACCGCAGGTGGTGGGGGTCCTGGAAGATGGACGAACGTACGCGACCGAGCTCGTTCAGAGTCGCAAGCCAGGAGAAGGAGCCATGGCGCAATGGGAACACGAAGTGGTCAGTCGGTGTCGTGATGTGTAGTTGTTTTGGTAGAATCCTTGGAAAAGAAGTTTAAGCTTATTCGTGGTGGACCACTAGCAGATGCCCTCCACAGGGCATTCGCGAGAAATGAGGGAAAAAGGTGTTCTAGTCCCCAACCCTTTCTACGAGGTGGAGTCTATCGTGAAACTCTCATGCCCTTTAACTTATCAACTCGGTCTCCATCGCTGAAACAGATCTGCCGACAGTACGAGAAGCCGTTGGTTCTACAGTTATGCCGCCTTGTACGGGGCTTCACGCACCCGGCATCGTACTTCGCGGGCGACAGGAACCCATCCTCGAGCAAGAATCGCCGCCACAGTCGGGGCACCAGCGGGGGAAGTCGGCAAGACTTAGCTCTATTCTCGGTGGACGAGTTCAGCGCAGAAATGGTACGGGTGATCCGTGCCCCGTAATGCCTGACTGTCATGAACAACACGAGCTCGGGGCCACGACGAAGTTCGTCGACGTATCGGTCGTAATGTTTGGATACCCAATCATACTGGCGGCCCGATCCCTCCACCATTGTCCACCAACACCAGATTTAATGATCTCGCACCAATCGGGCAATGGTTGAGGTGGTTGTAGTTCGATCGTCGAGGCCTGCACAGAATAAAATACAGAGTTGGGGTTCTCATTGGCCGGCCACGTATACGGCTTAAAGCCGCTTACCACCGATTTTTCGCTGGTTCTTGTATCCCCCGATGTTGTTCGAAAACGTTCAGGATAGTCTCCTGGAGATTACACTTCGCTCGAGGGTCATCGAAAAGCTGTCGGTGGCCCTTGATGCGTGCCTCTTCTCTACACAATCTGGCCAGGGGGCGTGTCCAAGGATGAACGAGGATGGAACAGCAAAGGAAGTGAGTTTTGGTTCCAGACTGCCTAAGATGTACACGGGACATCAGCTGCGCCACAATATTTGGCCTTGCCGTAGCGGACGGAGCAGTTGAGTCGTGCGGAATCGATGACCCTTGACACAAGACTCTCGTGTCAAACGTCTCTCAATAAATAGCACACTTCCCCCCATGGCCTGGTTTTTGTTTCGGTGACAGCACCTACACCTATTGGACAGATGTCCACGAATCGGTATGCGTTGACTCGGCTGAATAGACGGAGCCATGGCTGGTTCAGACCCGGTGGGGATTAAAGCCCGGGCAAAGGCGAACGAGGATACCTCCAAAGACGCATCACGTGGTTTGACTGGCTTGGTTTTTCACTCATCCTTGTTTGGTGCTTCGAAGTATCATTTTTCGGCCTTGTCGAATATGTCACCTTCGACATCGGGCATTTTGGTGTCAGCCTTGTTCCTACCTAGCGTGTCACGTTTGTGCTGGTTGTCCGGGTCACGTATGTACGCTGGTGGCGTAAAGGGTTCTCTCTGGCCACGGAAAGCCCTCATCCGCGTCAGCTGGATCGTTTCGGATGCTGGACAGCATAGAGCAGAGGTCGGAAGGAGGTTTATGTGAAGGTTGACCGGTGCCATTGAGGAGCGCGACCTCTTTGGCACAAATCGACTCAGGATACCCCTCCTGAGGAATGACACTCTTGTTGTCAGAGAACGTCTAACCATACAGGTGAGCCTAAGCAAAAGAAACGGCTACACTTTAGCAGCCCGCTGCCGTGCGACCCTACTGTGCAACCCATCGAACACGACAATATCAGGAGAACCACTGGGACGGCAACAGAAGTCTGGACAGCATAGCCAGGGCCGACGGTAACGGTGGCTGTGGCAAACATGAGAAAAGCCGAGTACCGTTAGAGGACAGCGACCACCTTGCGGTGCACTCTGTGCACATCTTCATGCAGAACCTGTACCACTACGCTACACAAAACACGGTGCGGTGCAACTTCAGTAATAACCACTCTCTGATACATAAATTCCTCGCCATCTAGGAGCACGTCAGTTTCTTGGAAGCACAACTTTGACTGAAGCGCAAATTGCAACGGAGGGGCGGTGCCTGAGCTTTGTTGCTGGGAGCCTCGTCCAAGATACACTTCTTGGATAGGCTTGATGTAGGAACGAATAATAAGTCGGTACCCGATGAAGGAAGTCGTGCGATGTCTTATCATCTAGTACCCTGAAAGACAGGGATTTGCCACCAGGATAGAAACTGGACCACTTGGCTACGCGATGGGCTGTCACGTGAAAGGGTCGAAAACGACATTTCGCGGCAAACCTATTCCCTCTCTCAACCTTAGATCCACACTTGAGTTTGGCGCGGAATGCCGTTCGCATCGGTGAAGAACTCCGTCTTTTCGAACCTATGGGAAAAACGTAAAAGTACTCTCTCGCCTTGAACTGGTGGCTGGCAGGACTTTTATCGCCAGCACATGCTGAGCGATACTTTGCTAGTGCCGAGGCTTGTCTTACCCTACCTGGATCAGTGCGTGCGACAGGCTCGACTTTTGTGTCACAGGTGACAGCAGTACCTTTCCACAGATACCACGCCCTGAGTAGAGTATCCCTCCTCGTGTGGGTTTGCGTCACTCTCATGCGTCGTATTGAACTATGTTCGGGAAGGTTGTGCGTTCTCGCGGTGTTGGGTCGTTGTACTGTAATGTGGCAACAAGGGTTCTGTCGAGCGAGTTCTGATCGTCCAAACGCTACTTGACGCACGGATTCTTCGATTCTTGCTCAGCACTCTGGTGCCCCGCTTGTAACCACGAGGGGAAGCCCCGCCCGCACAACAACGTGCATCGCTGATAAGGTGTTTGGTTCGGAATGCTAGCACCGAACGACCGACTGGAACGACCTCTGTCCCTGCTCATGTTTTTTACAGGAGTGGTCCATCAAAAAACAGTCAGTCTGCGAACGGATGGGTTGACGAAGGAACTAGCGCCATAGGTCAGGAAGAGGGAGAGGACGATCGTAGACACCGCAAGGCCGGAGTCGAGGCTGCGCTGGCCCAAGGGATTGCGTCAAGCTTGAGAACTTTGGTCATTGCGTCATTTCGCGCCCCCCCAAATAAGTTCGTCCTAGGTGAGGCCAACATGGAAGATAAAGCAAGTAGAACATTGGGAGACATTCTCCAAGAGAATACGGAACGAAGCGGGGTCGTGCTTGTTCCCATAATGAACCGTACACCACCAATTGTGGTCTGGGGAAAACGGGAGAAATCATTGTTACCTTTGGTAGATCACATTGCAGGTGAATGCTCCGGTCTTAGGGCAACTTCTGGAATAACGCGAAGAATCGAGAAATCTTTGCACAAGGTATGTGCGGCACTCGGCACGTTGGGTCGCTGGTAAGATGTGAATGGTAGGGGGTGCTTCGTTCTCTCGTAATCTAACTTCGGCTCAACCGCCCAGCGGATGTTCCTGTCGCGCGCTTGTGTGACGTTTGAACACGCAGGACTGATGCAGAGACTCAATCCCACCGGGTCCCTACTGCGAGCCCGGCCGTTTGTTGCCCGGCACGACTACATCTTCACCCTGCTGTGCCTCTTGAACGTCAACATGGGCGCCCTTAACAACGGCGCTCTATTAGTAGGGAACGGGGAGTCAATGAGAGTCGCAGAGGAAGACAGGGCCACGGCTACGAGCGTTATCGGAGAAACAGCCATGGATTTTTCCTTGGAGATGGTGCTGGCGCAGGGCTTGATGGACGATATGGCAGGGGTGTTTCAGGAGGTGAAAGAAAATCAGATCTTTCTGACAGACGCATTGAAACAAAATCTTGTCGGTATTGTAGGGCTGGAGTTGTTCTCGTCGGTGTTGTAAGGGACCGAATGGTATTGTACAATACACGGACACATGAACATTCTTGCTGTCAGGACATTATTGAAGCGCAAACGGCATCTCCACCATTATCGTCAAACAACTGAAAGATTTTAGCTCTTCTCCCGGTCGAGTTGCGAGTTGGTGCATTGTTTGTCATTGTAGCTTGAGCGGGTTCTACCATCTTTGGCTGCTCTACACTAATATATACTAACCAACCTCGCTGGACATGAAACTGCACTTCAGATGTCTCCGGAAGCTAAACGCCGTGTGGTGCAGAGGGTAACCAAGTCGGGAGCCTTACCAGTCTCCCGCGACGCCCCGGGCTACTCGGCGGTCCTCAAACTGTTGGGGGTCACGGATTCCAGCCTAGACTGTGGCGAACAGGGGGCGATTTCGACCGGAAATACTGGAAGGGCAGGTGAAGCTTCTATTGCGCAGTCAGGAGTCGCGAGGAGCGTTTTTTCAAACAGGACCAGGGTCGCTTGGGGCGGTTCAACGAGTTGTAGGTTCTGGAAAGCCATATCGTGAGGGTTGTATGTCGTCACCGCCCATTGAACATTGTTGCGGTGCTTGCTCCGTTCCCTTTGGTTGGGGCACTTAGTCTGCTGAAAGGACCATGGCAGCAACTTGTGAAATAAGCAGTAACAATAGGTCATCCAAGCAACTGCATTTCTGTGGTGAATGGGGACCTAATGAAGATGGGTGTTGATTGCGAGACGTGCGTAACGTGCCGGTGGCCAGAGAGTAAAAGCTGCCGGGAGGGAGAGGACTGGGCGTCCGATCGCAAGTCGGCCAAGAACGAGGCGGAGGCAAGGGCGCGAACGCTCAGCAGAGCATCCACGACAGGCGTAGGTAAGAACGGCACGCGCGCTACAGAACGCATCAAAGGTAACCAAAACAGAGTCCTGTCGAGATCTACGTCAGTTAGTAGGTCGACGCAATGGCCCCCATTCATCACAGGTACGCAGTACTTCATCTGAGGTCGGTGCATCGCCTGTGTACCACAAGATTTTCCTGGACCAAACCTTGATCGTCCACTTTTCTTTCCAGGTCTACCAAAATCCATCTTCGTATTGCATGGAACGACAACAAAAGGGCACGGCCTAGACGAAGTTGCATCTTCCCTGCTTTGCGTATTCTACAACGCTTTTGTCCCGTTGCGGCCAAAATTGGGGGGCTGCTGATTGTAACAGACTAAGCAGCTTCCCTTCTCGACCCCTCACCGTCTTGGTTAAACCAGAAAGCGCCGTCAACATTAAAGCCGAACGAAAAGCGGCCGGAAATGGAAAGACCTTCGTGCCCACCGAGCGCGACCATAAGTTACAGATACATCACGAGGAGGGTGGAAAATCAGGGCATTCGGTTGGGAAGATAAGCGGTGGTGAAGCAAAGGTCGACAAAGCCGCTGTATCGGGGCATGGAGGGCAGGGGGAAGACAAGGGTGTGGGAAGAGGGCTCGCGTCTCTTGGAGATCTACCCTCGCTCGGGAGGAGAACTGTAAGATGACGATCTCAGTTTCCCAGGATCACAAGGTTTTCTTTGATTTTGGGTTCCATGCAGAAATTCAGGCATGAAACCACGTCGTTGTCTAGCTCCTAGGCTTAGTCGATTCGCTGGTGCGAGTGCTAGTAGGATGCACATGCGTGTGGACTGAGGGAGGTACATGCACACCAGAAGTGTTGCACCAAGGGGTGCAAGACTTTCGGAAGTGAACGCACTCTGTCGCCACCCTCGGTTTCCGCCCCATCCGTCACGATACGTGTAGGACCCTGGCACCCTAGCGGACCTTAAGCAGCAAAGGGTCAGAGTGAATCTCGGTCTTCCAAGGAACGCCGTGTCATCGAGGCTCAAAGCAGCCTGTGACGGAAGCCATGCGGACGGCTCTCGGACTGCCAGATTGTCGAGAGGCCACAATGATGGCAGGGTTGATGGTAATGGGTGGGCAGGCGGAGAATCTTGGAGCGAGGGTTCTGGGGATGAAGGTGCACGAGATGCGGGAGGCCCGAAACGTGGGCGGAAGGAGAGATCCGGGAGCCGCAGGGAGGGCAACGGAGCCGATGGAATGCCCAAAGTGAGTGTTGTCGCGTACAAGGGGAGCTTTCCGAACCCGTCGATGTCGAAAAATGCCAATGAAGCCATGGGCTAAATCTGCAAACGCGCACAGGCGAGGCGTGTTGGGGTGTCAATGCCCAACAGTCGCTTGTTGAGGGGAACCACGTTGCTTGGGAGTGTCGAGGTCGGAAATGAAACCGAGTCTAGCCCCTTCTTTGTCCTCTTGCTGTCGTCTCAACCGACTAGGAGTTCCTGTGCGCCATCAACGGCCACATGATGAAGCTGCCGGTCAGGTCGCCACACGGGCATGTGTTCGAGCTTTCTACCATCTTACTGTGGCTTGAATCCAGGGGGCGGGTGTGTCCGTTTTCCGGAAAGCCGTTGAGCAAAGGTAAGGATATGGAGTAAGATTGTCGTTTTTCTGATGCAAAAAGACGCAATCTACGGCTGTCATTCCCGCGGAAACCGAGATGAAGCCAACCTATGGTGTCCACTTGTTCTTTTTTCTGCAAAAGGTGCCTGGGGTTCATGGCCAGTCAGGTGACAAGTGGTAACCGTCGGTTCAAGGCAAGCATGCCACGTTGTGACCTGGTCGCTTGTAATTCTTCTCTTTCCAACTTGTCTTACAAGCGACACCGCCCCCCTCCATTCTCAGCATTGTTTCGTCCTCAGCACTGTTTCGTCCACCCAACACATCAAGTTATCAGCGGTGAAAAGGACCACCCCCGCTTTGCATGGTGTTTCCTGGCAGAGGAGCTGGTACCCGAAGAAGAGCTGAGAACACGGATAATGCGGTGGCGCATAGAAAAAACTGATGTCGGCATTGACCGTCGCGGGCTTGAGGACGACGATATCTACGACTTTTGAGTTGACGTTCTTGTGTGCTTAAGAAGGATCCCAATCGCACGGTTCACGACCTACTCTGTCGAGTAGCCTGTTGCGACGACATGAAAAATTGATAGATGCAAACAGTGTGGTCTCGTCCGTTACAATCTTCTTGGCTGGTATGGCCGTAGCTTAACTTGTATGCGTAACTCGGGCAAAGATTCTGAGTTTAGGGTAACGTGGGGTAGTGGATCTGTGGAGGACCAATTAACAAAGGGCAAAGCGCACAACCGGCAAAAAGGCACCGGCTCATGTGCATCCGGCGGTCTGGATTTGCTACAACCAATCGGAAGACGCCCTCCACCATTAGCCCTGGCGGCGACACCACTAAACTGTATAAGTCCAAGCCCCAATATTACCATGACCGTGGGCCCCAACCTTCCGCTCGCAGTTGCTCCCCTGTTCTTGTCTGTGCATTTTGCAACAATCCATACCCACCACGGGACGTCGTTCGCCGATGGACTTCTGCTGTCTAACCGCTACACGGCAGCTAGCTCCACATGTATGTAGTGACTGAAGTGTCGAGAAGCACGATGACAACTAGACCACTAGTCAGCGCTGACTGGTGGTCTAGACTTATAGTGGTCATCTTGCTTCTTAACATGAAGCATGAAGAGCCACCACCAAGGGCATGGTCAGGTTTGTCGTTTCGCAATGGAGACTCGTCGATCGAGGCGAACCGCCGAGCTTGCCAAAAATCTTCTCGAGCTGTCTAATCAGCCCGAGCGGTCCCAGCTGGGTCGAGGCCCGATATTCATAACAGACCAGGTGCAGCGATGTACCTTCCTACCTTGCTCATCAGACCGGTTTTTATGGCTCACAAATGTTTGTTGCAAGAAAAGTTGCAGTTCTGCAACTTTTTCGCAACATTCCAAATAAATGTACGCCCAGTTGTTGACTTCACATTAAACCGTATGCCAGTTGCTAAATGCCAAAATCTAGC